TCTTTGTTGTCATTTTGTCTATTGTTGTGGTTGTTTGTGTCTCGTGTTTGTTTTGAGTCTCTTTAATTTTGTGTGTGTGTTGGTTGATTTTAGTTTTTTGTGGTCATTTGGTGTCTCTTTGTGGTTGTTTTGTGTCTTTGCAGTAATTTTGCATCCATTTGGCTCCATTTGCATCTCGGTGGTCATTTAGTCTCTTGTTGTGTTTGTTTTGAATCTCTTTGTGGTATTTTTTTTTGTCTTTGTGTTCATTTTGCATCACTTTGTGTCTCTCTGGTGTCGTTTTACGTGTCTTTGTAGTTGTTCTATCTCTTTGTGTTAATTTTGTGTCTCCTTGCCTTTCTTTCATGTCTCTGTGTGGTTGATTTTTGTCTTTTTGTCTCTTTGTGCCTCTTCACGGTTGTTTTGTGCCTCTTTGTTGTCAGCGAGTGTCTCTGTGGATCTTTTTGTTTGTTTTGTGTCTGTGTGGGTCTTTTTGTGTTCCTTTTGTGCGAGCAGACGGGGTAACTAGGAGGAACAGCAGCAGCGTTTTAAGAGGCGGCTTCAGGAACGAGGCGGTGAAAGCCAGAAGCAGAAGCGCTCTGAGCCGCCGACAGCGAGCCGAGAAGCCGGAGTTTAGCGAGGAAGCGTCTCCCTGCTGTCGGAAACACCACAAAGCCTCCCGGAGCAACACCAGCGAGCGATGAAACACCAAGCTGGCACCAAACGGAGAGTCTGAGCTGAAAGGAGGCAAGCGTCAGCTGGAGGAGCTCCGGTTCTGAAAGTCCACTTCTTCAAACGCTGCAGCCTGTCGGGGATTAAAACTGCTAAAGTCACTGTGATCTGTGACTGTATGAATAATGTAGCGGCGGCGGCGGCATTAAACGCCAACAGACGGATGTGGAAGGTAGATCTGTGATGTGCTGCTGCTCAGGACGACGAGTTTAAAGGAAACAACTCAACAAATCCTCACAGGAGCACAATGATCAGAGCTCAGGAAACAAGAACTTCAGCTGTAGTTTGATGTCTCCTCTGCTTGTTTGGTGCCTGTTTGTGGTCATTGTGTGTCTTTGTGAAGGTTTTTTGTGTCTCTTTTTGTTTCGTGTCCTATTGTGGTTGTGTTGTACGTTTTTATGACCATTTTGTGTGATTTTAAAGCTGTTGTGTGTTTCTGTGGTCGTTTTTCGTCTCTCTGTGGATGTTTTGTGTCNAAGCTGTTGTGTGTTTCTGTGGTCGTTTTTCGTCTCTCTGTGGATGTTTTGTGTCCATTTTTGTCATTTTGTGGCTGTTTGTGGTACTTTGTGTGTTTTGTGGTTGTTTTAAGTCCATTCTGGTCATTTTGTGTCATTGTTTTGTATCTCTGGGGTTGCTTAGTGTGTCTCCTTGTGGTCATTTTGTGTTTCTTTTAGTCATTTTGTGTCTGTTTGTTGTTCTTTTGTGTCACTTTGTGGTTGTTTTAAGTCTCTTTCTGGTCATGTTGTGTCTCTGGGTTTTTTGTGTCGTTTTGCAGTCATTGTGTGTCTCTTTGTGGATGTTCTGTCTCCTTAGTCATTCTGAGTCACTTTGTGGTTGTTTTAAGCTTCTTTGTGGTCATTTTGTGTTTTTTTCACTTCCTTCGTGTCCTATTGTGGTTGCATTGAATGGATTTTGTGATCATTTTGTCTCTCTTATTGACCAGTTTGTGTCTTTGTAGCTGTTTTGTGTGTTTCTGTGGTTGTTCTGTCTCTTTGTGTTCGTTTTGTGTCTGTTTGTGGTTCTTTTTCTGTATTTTGTTATACTGTGTCTCGTGTGTTTTTGTGGTCATTTAGTGTCACTTTGTGTTTGTTTTGTGTCTCTTTCTGGTCATTTTGTGTCTGTTTTGGTTCTTTTTCTGTGTTTTGTCATCATATTGTGTCTCCTTGTGGCTGTTTTGTGTGTTTTTGTGGTCATTTTGTGCCACTTTGTGTTTGTTTTGTGTGTCTTTGCAGTTGTTTTGCTGGTATTTGTAGATGATTTGTAGAACTTTTTGTAGTTTGTTAGCAGCTCTTCTTAGCTGTTTGGCGTTTCTAAAGGTTTATTCTGTCTAGTTATTCACACGTTGCATCTCTTTGTCATCATTTTGCACGACTTCATGGTTGTTTTTTGTCTTTTTGTGGTTGTTTTGCATCTCTTAGTGGCTGTTTTCTATCTTTTTGTCGTAATTTTGTGATCCTTTTGTGGTTGTTCATTGATGGAAACTAAACTTTCGCTGTGACGTTTCGAACGTTCCCTCTGAATCCACCAGAACTCTTTTTGTGGGTTTGATCCAGATACAAGACATGATGAAGGTGCAGCAGAGAGACGAAAATGAAGTGAATCATCTGTGAACGGATGATGTTCCAGCTGCAGCGACACTTGTCCTGCCTCAGCAGCGAATCAGAGCGAAGGCGAGCCGACGGACGCTTCCCCGGACGTCTCGTACTTCTGCCGGGTTTGCTAAAGCCGAGCCCTCCGTCATAATCTTCAGAGCTGCTGTCAGACGCTTCGCGACTTCCGCGGAGCTCAAATTAATCCGTTTCATCGTCGCTGTAATTGGTTTGACTCTGTTTGAACCTAATTACAGAACATAATTATCTTTTCCTGTTTGAAGATTGCAGCCTCGGTGGCCGGACTCCGAGTGAAGCTGTGGAGACGGAAACGAGCCTCTTTCATTAGCGTCCTCGCTCCGAGGCTGGAATGTCCACGTGAACTCGTCGATACGTGTAAATAGAGCCGCCTTTCACAGCTAGTTCTACGTTTTCTTCTGGGCTACAAACGCGCAACCTTCTGTCAAAACGTTTCATCAGAAAAGGAAGAACTCGACGCTTCAGGTACAGATAAAGTTCACGACTGTTTGGTGACGCTCGGATTCATGAGATGTTCTTAAGAAGCAGTAAAAACGAAGCGAGCTCCGTCAAGGCTTCGGCACAAAAGTGGAGGATTGAAAAGTTTTTTATTATTAGCAAAGAGAGATGATCGTATTAAAGCTGCATTCTCTCCAACAGCCAGCAGGGGGCAGGTTGTAAGAAGACTGAGAAAACAAACCGACTTCTGACTCGATTGGCTGCATCAGGAAACGAGTCTATGGTCTCGTTTGCTCGTTTCACGTCTCCTTTAATACAAAATGGTGTTAATTTAGTAGATTATGATTCTGTTCAGAGGAAAACAGACGATAAAAGAGATTTAATTCAGTCTCGTGTAGTAATGTTTTGTGTCTCTGTGAAGTTCTTTTGTGGGTTTATTCTTCGTTATGTTGAATTTCTTTATCATCTCACATATTTTGTGTTTGTTTTTGATTTCTTTCTGTTTATTTCATGTCTCTGTAGTTGTTTTGCATGTATTTGTGTGTTTTGTCGACATTTTTCTGCTCTTTGTGCTCATTTTCTTGTTTTGTATATAACTGTGAATTGTTTTTCTCTTTGTTTTTCTCAACACTTTGTCTTGTTGTGTTTGTTTTAAACCTAGCGGTGGTGAAACGGACGGATTCAGAGACTCTTTGGGTTTTTTCAACATATATTTAAATAGAAGAGCTGAGAAACTTGATGTAAATATTCTACATCCATGAACGACAAGAAATCAGAGCACATGGGATTATTGTTATTATTATTATTGTTGTTGTTGTTGTTGTTATTGTTGTTGTTATTGTTATTATTATTGTTGTTGTTGTTGTTAATATTGTTGTTGTTGTTGTTACTGTAACAGCAGAGGATGTTGACATTTTAAAAGATGATTTATTTATCTATGTTGCTGGTTGTTTCTGATGATTCTCGTTTCTTCACTATTTTCTCTCTGTTGATGTGATTTTTGAATTATTCTGCTTCTGGTTGTTTTTTTGTTGGAAATTATTCACGATGAAACATTTATGAAATCAACTATTTGTGGAAAAAACCAACACCACAGACGCCAGAACAGGATTCAGAATTTGGATGCAAGTGTTGTTTCATTTCTTGATTTTTTGTAGATTAATTTCTTTTGATTTATTTTTTTTTTCATCCTATTTTTATTTATATATTTTTGTACATGTGCATGTGTTTCTCTGCTGCTCTGTGGAGTCTACTGCAGCTTAATTAATCTGACCTTTAAATATGGCGTGACGACGAGCTAACGAGCTAATGAAGGAGATTAAACATCTAAAACTGAAAATATTTTGCTGACACAGTCACAGAAACCAACACTGAACCTGGACAGAACTCCAGCCTTCAGCTACAAAGTCCATTTCTGATAGATTATTCAGAACCTTGATCCATTTCCTCTGATGGACTTTTTATGGGATCAAAACCAAACTGATTTTGCAAAGTGCTGCTCAAAGAGGTCTGTTAGATTTCTCTGTAGTTTCACCTTTAAAACCTCCAGCTGAGTTCTGTCGTGCACTGTTTCAATCAGATTAAGTCCAATTGGGTTTGGGATTAAATATCACATCTATAAATCCTCCTCTCTGCTGACGCCGGGGAATGAACACATGAACGCTAAACATCTGGATCCTGCAGCGTCTCGTGGGACTCGGCGCCCTCGGCTGAGTCCTGCAGGCGGCGGCGGGTTAATAACGCCGAGTCCTGCTTGTCCTGCTGAAGCCGAAGAAGTTTTCAGAACTTTGCAGCCGCCTCCAAATCTCAGCTCCGATCTTTCAATTATTGTCGAAGTGTGTGTGTGTGTGTGTGAACTGATAGACGATGATCAATAAAAACACAGCTTCTGTTTCTTCCCCACAGCCACACGTCAGTAGAAACTCCACTGACTTCATCTTCAGTGTTGTAACTAAAAGCAGACAAACTGATTTGATCGAGTCTGAATTCGTCCCGGTCTGCTCTGATCGGCGCCACGCTGGTTCTTAACTCCAGATCTTGACCATCTCTGGATTTTTCTAGAATAAAATCTGGATTTTTATAAAGATAATCATGAACTTTTAGCTTTTAGTTACCCGTCGACCTGCTGGTAGCAGTTTGAACTCTGAGGCTGTTTGAACAACGTCTGAGGATCCGTTAAAGACCAAAACCTGAGATGTTCTCTGGTGTTTCTCATCATGTCACTGATCCAGAGTCTGTCATATTAAACAAGTTGATCGAATAATCTCTGATTACGGCTGAGTTGAAATACCTTTTCTAAAAAAATTGAAACCGTCAGAAGAATTATTCCGTCTGGCTCCTCCTGCTTTTATGAGATAAAATGTGAATATTTATAAAGAATATTGTGAAATTTTAGCTTCATGTGTCAGACACTTCACACGAAAACTGATTTTTAATGAGCCGTCGACTCAGCAGGTTCTTCTCTCAGGCTGTTCGGACGACAAAATCTCAAAATAATCAGAATTTATATTCTCAGAATGATTTAAACTCCAGAACTCTACTTGGATCAGACTATCAAATATGTTTTAGTGCTAAAAACTGTCAGTTCAACACAATGTCTTTGTTTCTAACTTTATGTTTTCAGTATTCTGATGTCCAGCTGAGTGTTGCTGTGACCTGTGGTTCAGAAAACTTCACTGGTTGATCAGCTGTTCTGTTAATGAGCTCAAAGATGGAACTTCAGTGTTTTTCATATTTCAGCTAAACACATCATCAGAACCACTCGTCCAATGCGACAGATTCTGGATCAGTGACGTGATGAGAAACACCAGAGGACACATCAGGTCTTTGTTTCTAACGGTTCCTCTGATGTCGTCGCTCAGATTTCAGCGTAAGAAGCTGCTGAACGTCGGCCGACGGGCAGTTCTTAAAGAGATTATCTCAGAAAGTATCCAACGTATGAAGGTCAGATTCCACAGACATCTTGATAAATATGAACGTTTTATGCTCTTAAAACTTCAGGCAGATCAGAAGATTTAGGATGGAATCAACCAGCTGTCTTTTTAAAGTTTGCAGACCTTAAACGTGCACAAACTCAGCTTCATACCAGCTGAAGGGAGGCGGAACCGGAGAGCCGGGTTTGGGCTCTGAGAGCTCACGTCCTCAACATTTCCTCCAAAAAAACATCCAGTGTGTTAATGTGGAAAGGCAAGTCAGAGCCCCTCTGTCACGGCTAATTCTGTTCAGCGCTAATCTGTGCGAGCAGCCGCTCCATCAGGCTTCGCTCTGCGTTCGTTATTCAGGCAGAAGGAATCTGGCGCCAGTCGTTCGTCAAACCCAGACGTCAGCAGAACAAACTACAAAGTGAAGAAAGCGTTTCTGTTCCTCACATCATGCATCCGCCGACTAAACGGCGTCCCAGACAGAGGACGATTTGAAGCTACGCGTCGGACTGATTGAACGCATCCGCCCGCTGCCATCAGCTCTGAACAAAGAGGGTTAGCCCCTGTTGCCATGGCAACAAACCGGCCTCACCGTCGTGGTTGGCGTTGCCGAGCGTCCACGGCTCGTCGGAGTCGAAGTGCGTGTCGCCTCCGATGCCGGCGCCGGGGAAGTAGGCGTGGGCCAGGAAGCCGCCCTCGCCGTCGAACGGGGAGCTGTCGCCGTGGAAACCGGAGGCGAAGAAGATCATGATGTCGGCCTCTTTGCCCTCGTTCTTGATCTCCGAGTACGGGACCTCCTGAGATGGGGGATCGGAGGGAGGAAGTCAGCAATGTCAGCGAGTTTATGGTGGTTTCTACAAGAGCTGCGATGTTTCTGGTTCCTACACGGTCGAGAACAAAAGCTTCCATCCACATGAAGACCACGTTTATCATGTCAGCCTTCAGGGTCCAGTGACTCTTAGAACTCAACACAATCATGACAGATTCATTAAAGGTCTTCTGGAAACATGACAAAACCTGCTATAGCATAAAAACACACAGCTTGAACTATCGGTTCTAGTGACGCATAACGTTGTGTTGAACACGTTCTCAGCTTCACGGCCTCCTGAGTGGTTCTGATTGACTCCAGCTGCTGACTCCTCTGATCCAGTTTAAACAGGACCCAGAACATTAGAGACTGGAACCAGTCAGAAAGTCACTTGGAGCCATTTCAGAGCAGCTTCAGATCCAGAACCATCAGTGTGTCAGCATAAAGTTCATGGTCCAGTTGTGTTACTGCCACCATCAGGAAGGAAACACAAACTACCAGCTGCTGCTGAGAGACAACTGGTCAGGATGGTCAAGAGTCAACCAGGAACCAGCAGAAAGCAGCTCTGGATGGACCAGAAGCTGCAGGAACACAGCTGCCAGTGTCCACAGGGTCTGACATCAACATGAACTGAGAGGCTGATGAAGAAGGAAGTTCTTCCTCTAGAAGCAGAACCTTAAAGCTCCACTCAAGTCTGCTGCTGGTCACATGGACAAAGAAAAGGCCTTCTGGAGGAAAGTTCTGGTCACATGGACAAAGAAAAGGCCTTCTGGAGGAAAGTTCTGGTCAGATGGAACAAACACTGAGCAGAACCATGTCTGGAGGAGAGAAGGTGAGGCCTTTAACCCCAAGAACACCAGACCTACCACCAAGCATGGAGGTGGCAGCATCATGCTCTGGTTCTGTTCTGCTGCCAGTGGACCTGGAGCTTTACACAAAGTCAGTAGACCAATGAAGAAGGAGGATCACCTCCACGTTCTTCAGGAAAACCTCAAACCATCAGCAGAAGGTTGATCTTAGACACAGTTGGATGTTCCAACCAGACAATGAGCCCAAATACACATCAGAGTGGTGAAGAAATGGTTCCATCAGGCTGGAATGAAGGTTCTAGACTGGTCTCCCCAAAGTCCTGACTGGAACCATTCAGAACCTGTGGACTGATGAAGAAACAAGTCTGAAGTTCAGTTGAACTGCAGCGATTCTGTCCAGAGGAGTCAGAGATGAACCAGAAGCTGGTGGATGGAACCAGAAGAACCCGACTGAGGAGAACATTCAGAGTTCGTGGAAACTCCAGACTGACACGATAAACTGGGTCTTTACAGGTGGACGGAACTTTTGTTCTCAACACCAACGGTCAAACTAGAAGCAAACTTGGAGGTGAATAACTTGTCTGTGTGAGATCCAACATGCTGAGTTCTACCAAAGCTCTGAGTTCTATCAAAGTCTGACTGAACATTAACGCTGAAGCTCAGCTGTCAGACGTTTGGGTTCCGACCTGGAAGGAGAGCGGCGTGACCGTCTGCCAGACGTTGAAGGCTTGTCGAATCGCTCGCTGGGTGTCCTTCTCGCCCACTTTGGGGGTGAAGTTGGATATGCTGCAAAACACAAGGAGACAACAGTTCAGGACTGAAGGAGGCGTTTTACAGACACACAGTTTAAAATGAACATGAACACTCCTGTCAGCACACATGGAAATAAAATGTATTAAATATGCTTATTATTGGTCCACCATAGAGGTAAAGTTAGTGGGGTTCATCCTCTGGGAACCAAAACCTCTAACGTGTAGGAAACAACGTTCATCTACGTGATGCTCATTTTCAGTGGTTAAAGGTTCAGGCGTTTGGCTTCAGCGCGATGATCTGAAGCTGCAGGTTTAGTGAACACCACCGATTCAGGGTCGAGTCGCTGCTTCAGGTTAAGGCAGCAGCTGATGCACGAATGAGGCGGAAAAGTCACGACGGAGGAGACGTGTCGTCCATTTCTACTCTGGAGGAAGCAGCGTCGTTTCATCACTCCAAGGAAACACTCTGATGTCTTTAAAAAAAAACCCTCTCAGAGCTTCGGTGTGGGCGCCTACGAGCTTCAGGAGGCCGATGGGAGGAGGTCCAGGACGGGACGGCGAGAGGCAGCTAGAACGAGGTTCATGTCACACAATCAGCCTCCCAACAGTCTGCAGACGCTTCCATCCAACCCAGAAGGAAATACCAGCGCGTCACACGTTTAACACGACGTTCATGCAGCGAGTAAACGGCACTGCAGAGAAACGAACGTTCCTGCAGCCGATGGCCTCGAAACGAAACCTGATTTCAATGATCATAAGGAAGCGAGGTGCTGAGTGGGAAAGGATCCGACTGGAAAAAGTTCAGGAAGTAAAAACTGAGACGATCTGGTTCTTCTTCACGTCTTCTTTTAACTTCATCAGAAAAAACGACAATAAAACCTCCCTTTTCCACAAACTGCACACGTGATGGTGGCAAAAGATAAAAAGAACGTTTCACCTCCGAACTCTGGGCAGCTCCTGGATTTACTCCAGTCTCGTTTCTTCTCCCTGTAGACTCATTGTTCTTCACTCTGGGCTGACTGTCGTCACTGTGGGGTCTTTTTTTCTCACTGTGGACTCATTTTTCATCGTAGAAATTCAACCTTCATTGCTTTTTATTGTTTCCATGGTTCTGACTGAGTCCTGCTGACAGCAGACGTTTCTGGGTTCTGTCTCCTCCTTCATGTGGTTCTGGTTCCTCAGAGCTTCAGGACTTTATTGAAACATGAACCTCGGTGAAGGAGCAGGAGACTGGAGCAGAAAACGTCCAGAACCTGCGGCTTGGAGTCCGAAGGGTTAAATAAAAGTAAGAACAACTGAACTCTTTCTGAAACAGAAAAATCCTTCAAGTCATTTTGAAAGAAAACCGAAAACACTGGCTGGTTCACGTCTGAACTGGTGCAGCAGTTATTTCTATTTTAGATGTTTCATCACCGTCACTGTGCATCAGCAGATCAATCAATAATCAATAGCTGCAGCCAGAACCGACGCAGTTCAACGTGTTTCACTGATTCAGTGTCATGACAGACGGGTTGGTTCCATCGCTGTCTGCTGGCTCATCCCGTCATACAGTCATAGATACAACCTGTGTGTGTGTGTGTGTGTGTGTGTGTGTGTGTGTGT